GCAGCAGCATGGTGGGACACGGGACTCGGGAAGGCGGGCGGTCTGCTGTAAATGGGTTGAGCTCTGAAAGCGCCGTCACACACGTGAGGCTCATGTGACTGGAGCTCGAGACGTGTCTGCAGTCACAGGGTTTATTTAACACGTACTTCAGATCCACCCACATACACTCATTTAACCAGCACCAGAGCCGACAAACGCCTCCTGCACCTCCACCTCACAACAACATCACTTCTGCGTCCTAGTTTTGAGACACCGTATCTGGAACCAAAACTAATTTATTCGAGGAAAACACATGTGGACTTTTATGAGAGAGTAACGGATCTGCTTTTTATTTTTATATATACGTATATATATATACATATATATATATTAATTAAATCTACCCTATTCTTACATCAGTAAGACATATTAATAGGGTAAAATGGAAAGGATTACCAGTGCTCAGCCTCCTCCAAGTATGGCCAAACACGCCTCGATGGATATCTCTGACATGCAAGGGTAAGTCAGTCTCCAGTTGTTGCGTATTTATGTCGCTGAAAGCTTTCCTGGGAGCTAGATCTCTTATTGGCTGTATTTTATTATATTTTATAGAATGGACTTTCCCATGTATGTGTATAAACCCCGGCGGGGAATGAAGCGCAGCGAGGACAGCAAGGTATGAAATGCGCAATTACGCACAAATATGATTGCGCACACTTTTACTTGCCACTTTTGTTTGATATAAGTCTCTTTTAGTGTTTTAAACAAGATGTATAATGCACTCTTTTAATTTCTGTAGTTTTGGTTTGTTATTGATGTTTTTTTGCATGAAAATTAATATAAAATTTTAATAACTAACCCCCAGGATACATACAAATTGCCTCACCGATTGATCGAGAAGAAAAGGAGAGACAGAATAAACGAGTGCATCGCCCAGTTGAAGGATTTGCTGCCCGAACACCTTAAACTCACTGTAAGTAATATGGGAGTGGATCGGCTCACCTCACTTTGTTGTAGTATAAAGCGCCACCTGCTTGTTGATCATGAATAAATCATTTTTGTCCTGCTTTTGGATTAGTCACCTGTAATGTGCTTGATATACATTTTTAATATATACAACCTGTAAACTTTCGGCACTCCATATAGTGAATCTGGCTTTAGTTAATTATTCACGTTAACAAAGCATGTTAGATTGTCATGTGGAATATCTGAATATTACTTGCACGCACACGTGCATGCACTGGTGAGCGGAGAGGAGTGTATCCGTTCCTTTTCCTCTCTGAGCCACTGCGGAGTGTGTTACATAAGAAAGATCAACATGCTTATCTGGGTTCTTCCTGTTTTAGACTCTGGGACACTTGGAGAAGGCTGTTGTGTTGGAGCTCACACTCAAGCATGTGAAAGCTCTTAACAACCTGCTGGAGCAGCAGCAACAGAAGATCTTTTCCTTGCAGAATGGAATGCAAATTGGTGAGTTTTCGATCATGCAAAAGGAGTGGCTTGGAATATCTGAATATTACTTGCACGCACACGTGCATGCACTGGTGAGCGGAGAGGAGTGTATCCGTTCCTTTTCCTCTCTGAGCCACTGCGGAGTGTGTTACATAAGAAAGATCAACATACTTATCTGGGTTCTTCCTGTTTTAGACTCTGGGACACTTGGAGAAGGCTGTTGTGTTGGAGCTCACACTCAAGCATGTGAAAGCTCTTAACAACCTGCTGGAGCAGCAGCAACAGAAGATCTTTTCCTTGCAGAATGGAATGCAAATTGGTGAGTTTTCGATCATGCAAAAGGAGTGGCACACTAAAAGTGTGACTGTGTCACAGGAAGTGGCCCTGCTGAACTTTTTACCTCCCCTCCCCATTCGTTTGTTTACGAATGCATTACAAAATAAAGAAATTGAGGCACGCTTGCACTACGCAGCGAATGATCTGGCCTACAGGACTGTTGTGAAGGAAAACGTTGGCATGGTTTCTAACTCTTATGGTTTTATTGCAGGTGAACAGGGCAACGGGCATTCAGAAAACAGCGAGGAGATGTTCCGTTCCGGGTTCCACTTGTGTGCAAAGGAGGTTCTTCAGTTCCTGGCCAATCAGGAAACAATGCGTGACCTGACGCCCGCTCACATAATCAACCACCTTCAAAAAGTGGCGTCTGAGTTCATTCAAAGCCCGCCAAGTCCTTGTCTAGACGAGCCCACTCCCAAAGCTCCAGAAATCAGGGAGAAACCGGCAAGCCCACAGCCAAAAGCGGCAGAGGGTCACGCTAAAAACTGTGTGCCCGTCATTCAAAGGACTTATCCCCATAGCAGTGAGCAAAGTGGGAGTGATACGGATACCGACAGTGGTTACGGGGGCGAGCTCGAGAAGCGTGAACTGAAAGCTCAACGGTCAGTCTACTACAGCAAAGACGCGGGAGATCTCAAGCACAACGGCAACATTAAAGAGGAGTTGGACGAGCCGCAGGCCAAGAGGCAGAGGTCCGACTCTTCAGAAGACGAATCTCTGTCAGGGCCAGACATAGTTGGTGGCCACAGCCCCTACATGAGTTTTTCTCCACACCAGCCCCTTTGCATGCCCTTCTACCTCTTTCCGCATGGAGCAGCCGCCGCATACTTGCCCATGCTGGAGAAGTGTTGGTACCCCGGAGCCATGCCCGTGTTGTACCAAGGCCTCGGCGGCTCCCCGGCAGGCATGTCCCCCGAGAAACTCCCCTCATCCCTAGTCATGTCCTCAAGAGTGGGCTCCCCCGTCACCACTCCGACCTCCATGGACTCTCCTGCGCTCCTGCAGGCCCTGAAACAAGTTCCCCCATTAAACCTGGAAACCAAAGACTGAGGACTCACTCTGGGGTCCGCGATAGCCCGCTCTCTGAATGTCTTGGTCTTGAGAGTGGACTTCCCTGCTGAATAAGCTCCCGAAGAGGGTTTGGTTGAAGGGGGCATGAAGGCAAAGTTCAAAGACGCACCCTCAAGTACGGCAAACAGCTGTTCTGATTCCTCTCAGACGTACGATGGCCTCCCTCCAAATGCAGAGATGCACATAGACTCTCACACACACTTATCAACTCCCTCCACAACCAGCAGACAAACACCCAGAGATGGAACGGTCCGCGTGGACACAGACGGGTAAAGGAGGCCTCGTGCACAGCACTGTGAAGAAGGTCAAAAATGAGGACAGTGAGCTCTGTCCTTGGGAGAAAAAGGACCTGGGGTTGGCGAACAGCTGCTCTTTGCACTTGCGCCGAATGTTTAAGTCGAAAACAATACAAAACAATAACCCAGAATGTGACGTGCAGATGGTCCCCCAACGACAAAGACTTTGCCCTTTGCACAAGCACCTTTTCATTTGTTGAATGTAAACGAAAAAGTCATTTTTGTAATAAAACATCACCCCTGTAGATGCTGCTTTTTTGGACATTTCTCTGTGCCGTGGATGCTTGCTCAGGAAGCTCCACTCTCTTCTGCTTCTGTGACTGCTTTAACCGATAAGAACCGTCCATTTAGACTAGAATGCTACCAAATAAACGTCTTTGCTTTGGATGACCTGAGTTTCCCCTGCATAAACGAGGACGCCATTGGCTCCCGAGACGTGACGCTCGTGTAAATACGGGAGTGATGTAATCACGGCTCCACTGTAGCTTTTGAGTTTGTCATCCATTCGTGCACGTAGGTGAAGTTGTTGTGAGGTAACTGCGTTGTGTAATTATTTTGTTTATACTACTTGTACATCTGTGTTTTTTTATACGTGACCCACACATACGTTCACAAGTTTTAGACAGCCGAGAGCTGTATGCCATGAGATTGTGTACATAGCTTTGGACCTAGACTCGATCTGCATCATGTTCTGTGATAATTTCTGGTCAAATTAGGACAGATCTTGGTTCATGCTGTTGCCTTTACCTGTTTAAAGCAGTAAACATGATGGCGGCTATCTACATTTTTAATCCTGGATTCTACATAGAAGCAAAATAAAGTGAATGTAATGTTAAAAACAATATATTAGTTTTGTATAGGAAGAGGTACTTACTTTTTATTTTGGGACCTAATTCTGTGATAATTTCTGGTCAAATTAGGACAGATCTTGGTTCATGCTGTTGCCTTTACCTGTTTAAAGCAGTAAACATGATGGCGGCTATCTACATTTTTAATCCTGGATTCTACATAGAAGCAAAATAAAGTGAATGTAATGTTAAAAACAATATATTAGTTTTGTATAGGAAGAGGTACTTACTTTTTATTTTGGGACCTAAGAGAAGGTTGCTTGATGTATATATTTTGTCTAAAAAAAGTATTGTTGACATACATTAAAGAAAAAGTATTAATAAAGTTTTTTTTTTCCTGTGGAAATCATGCCTGTCTGAGTCTGTGTTTGAGAGCTTGAACATGTTTAGCTGAAAAAACAACCTCGCTGTTTTCCCCATCACAGTCCGTCCTTATGTAACACTTACATAACCCATAAACTTGCTGTCTATGCACATCCTTTAGACAAACACTATGATAAGAGTCAGGTTACAAATATTCCAGCCTCACACCTCCTAACTAAAGTCCGTGCATTTTCGATAAGGTTTTGTGGCTCACTTTTTCTACAAAAAGACTTCGAACCCAAAGCAGAGAACATAATTGATTATTTGGACAGTCTTTGCAACTGCGTTACATTTCTTCGACGCATCACGTCCTCTTCTAATGCTCGCTAGCTGTTGAATTAGGTTAAGACTCCCCGCGTGTCTGGCTGTCACATGTAGAGCCACACGGCAGGCCGCGCTCACTGCACGAAGCATGGGCAGCCACATGCCACACCTCCAGCGCATCCAGCGCAGTCAGCACAATGCAACACATTCGCTACAATTACGGGACAACAGTATTATATGTTGTCTGTAAATGATTAATATCTATAAATATAATTAGTTAATATAATTACACAATAAATTGATATATTTTAGAGATATTAAGTATTCTTATCATTAGTATATTTGGTTGTAGCATATACTATACCAAAGCAGGGTGATAAAATTTAAATAGAAAGGTTTTTGTGTCTTAACTGATGTATGGAGCTCATGGATGAATGAATGAATGAAGGGAAATAAAGTGGCCATAGTACTCTTGGCTGTCATAAAGCATTATGCTTCGTTTCTAAAAACAAACAAACAAAAACAACTGTAATGGAAAAAATAAACACAGACACTGTTACAAAAGAACATCTGCGCTATATATAACACGTTTGATGTATTACTGATTAAATACAGTATGTTTGCCAAAAAAACAATATGTGAGTTTGCATGATAGACTGATGCAGCACGTTAAGGGCACATCTTTCTATTCTAAAGCTTTTAGCGCTCTCGCGTGGACTATCGTTGAACTGCAACGAATGTTAAATGCGTTTATACAAATTATAATTAAAGACGCTTTCTTTCTTTCTTTCTTGATCAAAAGGGTGCTTCTACTAAATACTGAGCAAAGAGTCTGAATACTTAGGACCATGTGATATTTCAGTTTTTCTTTTTTAATAAATCTGCAAAAATGTCAACAATTCTGTGTTTTTCTGTCAATATGGGGTGCTGTGTGTACATTAATGAGGGAAAAAATGAACTCAAATGATTTTAGCAAATGGCTGCAATATACCAAAGAGTGAAAAATTTAAGGGGGTCTGAATACTTTCCGTACCCACTGTATATATATATATATATATTATTTAGTATTACTGAATCAACCTAAATTTATTATACCAACATAACTAAGGACACCTCAGTTGTGGTACTGAAGGTGGGAGAGAATGCCTAAACTGGGGTTTGTAAATGAACTGCAGGGGGTTTGTGAGTTTAATGAAAAGCTAATAATTAATTAAATTCATAAAACCTAAAAGTCATTTAAAAACAATAAATCAAAATAACACATTTAGTAAAAAAAATCAAATATTGTATTTGTTTACCTGCATGTCATGTGACCATTAACATCTTAACTGTCACCTGTCCCCTCAGAGGGACGCCTAAGTTTACTTCACTATATTACAAATACATCCTCATCTAACCATGACAAACTGTATATCGTTGGAAAGGTCTAAGTTTTTTGTTACAAATGATATTGTGTACATTAATGAGGAAAAAAATGAACTTAAATGATGGCTGCAATATACCAAAGAGTGAAAAATTTAAGGGGGTCTGAATACTTTCCGTACCCACTGTGTGTATATATATATATATATATCTTGTACCATATTGATATAAAAATACAAAGAGTATAAAAACATACAGTACTGTATATTCCATTCATTGTGATGAACAACATGATGCGCATTAAACATTACAATAAATCAAGGTTTCCTAAACTGGGGTTTGTAAATGAACTGCAGGGGGTTTGTGAGTTTAATGAAAAGCTAATAATTAATTAAATCATAAAACCTAAATAAAGTCATTTAAAAACAATAAATCAATAAATCAAAATAACACATTTAGTAAAAAAATCAAATATTGTATTTGTTTACCTGCATGTCATGTGACCATTAACATCTTAACTGTCACCTGTCCCCTCAGAGGGACGCCTAAGTTTACTTCACTATATTACAAATACATCCTCATCTAACCATGACAAACTGTATATCGTTGGAAAGGTCTAAGTTTTTTGTTACAAATGATATAGGAACAGCAGTAGATTAATTTATGACAAGAGTGCACCTCAAAAAAATCTACATAACAGGCATTCTGCCTTTTCCCTATCACATCTGAGAAATCATCATAAATGATATATCAATTGAAAGCTTAAAACTGGGAGACTTTCTGACTGAATAAACAGTAGGCTATTTTAGAAAGGAACATTTCAAAGATGAAAAAGAGGAATTAGGGAGAATCAATGAACTATTATATGAATAATATGTAATCATGTAATCAATAAAAAGTTACTGTAGTCTGATTACACGTATTTTAAGATGTAATTTAATCTAAATACATAATCCAGATAACATGTAATCAGTTACTAGCCAGGTCTCTCTCTCTCTCTCTCTCTCTGTGTGTGTGTGTATATACCATATATATATATATATATATATATATATATATATATACACACACATAATGGTAAACACTTTGGGAGTTTTGAAGTACAAAAAAAGGCATGCCTGGAAACAACGCTGTTGTGACGCCAAACCCCCTCATGGAAGAAGAAAGCCATCTTGTTTACAACTATGAAAATGACACTGAACAAAACAAACTGTGACTGGCTGCTTTACGCTGCAATGCATTTATTTATTTGTTTGCTCGTTTTTATAAATAAACAAACAAAAATATTTGTGTAGATTTTGTAGTGAGTTCTAGGCAAACAATCCAACTGAAAATTTGCCTTATTTATTTGATTTTAAATGAGGACTTTCTTGTTATGCAATCAATGCAATTTATGTATGTATGTATGTATGTATGTATGTATGTATGTATGTATGTGTCTGTCTGTCTGTAGCACAGCAGCATGTCGCGAGTGCTGGCGGACTTTTATTATTTACGATTATTTCCGGCGCGGCGCGTTTATTGTGCGTCATTTGTTGTCACCTGACAACAGCGCCTCAGACGCTTCCTCTTTCTCCTCGATTCCTCTCCAGCAGGAACAGATCTGCCCCATCAGAGTTCGCTCATCCAGCAGCGCAGAGATGTTGGCCCTCATGCACCGGCTCCTGGACTGGTTCAGGTCGCTCTTCTGGAAAGAGGAGATGGAGCTAACGCTGGTGGGACTGCAGTACTCTGGAAAAACCACTTTTGTCAACGTGATTGCTGTAAGTCTGCTTTCATTCCTCACAGCTTGAACACTGCTGTCATGTCATTGCCAGGAGAACAGATGCTTTAAAACCTGTTTATGTGGTCTAGGCGTGATGTTTCCCATGGATTGCTTGACGTTTTAGCTTATATATGAAATATGAATTGCTAATATCTCCAGGTTTGAGGACTTTAATGACTTTTAGGGTGGATGAGATGCCACTGGTGTGTTTTAGTTCTCAAGTCGAATGTAATCAGTTTAATAAAACCTATATAATGTAATGTAATATGATGATCATCAAACACAAAATTTGATCATTTGGTATTATGAGTTTTCTTCGATGTTTATGTCAGTGCCAGATGTGTTTTTTGATTGCCTTCATAGATTGTTTTCAGCAATGATCACATAATAATCTTCCCTTTATGGATGCATCTGACTCAGAGCAGATGTCATTTATGAGAGTCATTTTTTTGTATTTTTGACAGGTCAGTGCTGGTTCATTGTGGTTTAGCATTTTTAGTATCTAAAGTTTCTCATTTGTATGCTTGGCACAATAATGGAATTGTGGAATCCACAGATTAACGTTTATATAAACCTCAGTGTGACCCATATTTCGAAAGGTCTCCGAGTACAGCAGCCTGGATCAGTTATTAGGCAAAGGTCCCAAGTGCAAGTGACCGTCCCAATGGGTGTTCTTGAATCACGAGAGTTGGTTGCCCTTTCGCCTCTCATAGATGCTTCTGCAATGCAGCACAAAGAGTTGACAAACCCAGAGCTTCTAACAACTCTACATCAGGGTTTGAAATAGAATTCAAAGGTGAAAAGTGAAACATCTCGCAGGTGTTTTTCTAGTTTCACTGAATGATTTATGGGACACTTTTTAGTTGTAACTTGCTTAAGAACTGTCACTCAGTATTTTTCCACTCATAAATGTAAATCAGTTAAGTTTGCATAGCTAATATATGCATGTATAATGTATGTTTTATGATTTGTAAACCGCAGACCACAAGAAATGAAGAAGTAGCACAAGAAATGCAGCAGAAATCTTCTTGATTGAATGCTTTGAAGATTTTCAAATGCAGATCAACATGCAGTTACATAGTTGACATTTTTAGGTGTTTTGTAATTTAGCTATGAAATTAGCTAAACTCTTGGATTTTTACAGTAGAGGAGATCCCACTCAATGATTTGGCTTCGTTATAATCATATTTTTAAAAGGAAGATCTTGGTTTTATCTAAAAAGGATTCATTTATTTGACATATTTTAAAATCCACATGGTTGAAAGAATCAATTATATTTTAATCTGTTGCACAATTTACTAAATTATGAAGCATGAAACCTTCTGGCTTGTTTTACCAAAAATTCACATTATTATTATTATTATTATTAAAACTCCCCGTGACTTGCTAGAGTGACCTGTTTGGATTCAAAAGTGGCATTTTAACATTGACTTCCTCTTGTGTGCTGTTATTTTGTGCAACATGAGACCATACGATTGTCTTTTTTATTAACTTTTGCAACTCTTCACATGCAGGTTTGTTTT